CAAATGAAGTAAACCATTCTCTGGAAATATTAGTTGAATTAATTAACTTATCTGATAGATTACCTGAAAAGGTAAGCAATAGTATTGAACTGGCATGTCTCACCAACATAACATCGACCACATGAGCAAACAATCTTGTAGAGCCTGACATTAGCCTTTTGATCGCTCTGATTTAGAACCGGTATTGCGTAGAGACGCTAAAACACACACACACACTCACCCTCGAGCAAAAGTAGCAGGACAAGTATGAAATATAAATAGCCAAACCACTCTATATCCGTCTAGGTTTTAAAATTCACTTTTGCTTAAATGAGACTACATAAGAGGTAAGCTTGAGCCGGATAGTCTTCTTGCCCTCATGTTAACGTGATACTTTTACAAGAATGAGTTCCAGTTCTGATGAGGTCCATCGAATGGTGTATAAAAGCTCAGCCCGCTTTCACACGAAACGAGGGAGGCGGTCTAGTGGACTGCATCAAACTGAACATCGTACAAAAGCCGAATGGCTGCAGTACAACGGGATTCGTCCGTCCTCTTCTGGTGAGATCGACACACGAATCTCTTCTTCATGCACTTTCATACGAAATGAAAGTCCCCCAAACAATGTTATCTCAGGAGATGAATCGAAGCTCAGTTTATCATCGTATCTATAATCCTAATGGGTAATTGCTTTTAAATACTATATCCCTCAATCTACCAATCTCTTGGTCCTATGGTTTGCATCTGCTAGACGTAGACTCCCTATTAGCATAGACTTCATAACTCCTATTTTCACTTTATATGTATGGTTCGTGAAGAAATTGATAAGGAAATCCTCTTGAGTGGGTTTCCTAACTTGCTACCTTTTTTGCTTACTAATACATTGCTCGAAGGTAATTTACTTTCCTTTTCTAACTCCATAGTAAACCTTGTATTTACATCCCTTCTATTAATTAGCTCAAGGAATTCCCCCAAACTTTCTTTGCCGTAGGTATGAAGGCCAAGATGGTTTGACCTTTTGTCTGGTCCAAGTCCCCATTCGTTGTATAGAAGTTGTTTCATCTTTTTTTCACAACTTGGTAATTTTGCTAGGAAGAGTTAGAGGAACGCACCTAGTCCGGAGTCCATTACATGCATGATCATTTCCAGAGTAGGATCGTGGACGTGGTACATTCCCAGACGTTTCGCCGGCATCGTAGTCGGTATCGTCAGTTAGCATTGCCATTCTTAGGACCACACTACAGCTCGTCAAAGAGCCAAGCGAAGCCGATCCTTTGACCAATTGTCTGCTAAACAGTTGTGGTATCGCTTGTTCTGTCCTCTGCTCTTCACCTCTCCTATGTTGAGGTAGCCAACCAAATCATGGGATGTCTCCATAAGATCGCGAAGTTAGGTGTACAAAAAAGCGACTAGGGTTGCAGCCGGCCACCTTATCTTCTGGTTTAGTATATTTTTACTCTATTTCGTAAAGTATGGAATCTTGCTCAGTTGTACAGACAAAAGCCTAGCCCAGTTTCACCGGGTTCTCAGGACGATGAGCCGAGGATTTCTTCGCGCAATTCTTCTCACGATTCCCTACGTGGCAATTTCCCTTCTGCTTCCGGTGAGATTGGATCACAAATTCCTTCCAACCAACTTTTCCTTCGAAATGGGGAGTCATGCCACACTATGACACATATGATTTCGTATTTCGTCAAGTAATGAAGAGTCATGATAATAAACTTAAGAATTTAGGAATTAGAATTGGACCTCATCGCTGCGCGTAACTACAACTGCTCCTCCTTTACATGAGATGTATTACTCATATTTCATTTAAGGTGATGAAGAACTGGCAGTATAATTTTCCAATAATGATATGAGTAGATCTGACGTTTCCACCCTGGATGGGAACAACTTTTGGAAAAGCAATGCTCTGTGAAATTCATAGGAAACGTCAGCTCTACTCATATCATTGTGCGAAAATTCGACTACCAGTCCTTCATCTCACATAACTGATTTACTGGTAGTCTCGAAACTCTACTTATATGCAATTCCTGAATAGTTCGCATATCTTTTTCGTGCGCTGGCAGTACGTTAACATCTATCCGTACCAAATAAAATCCTCTCCCCAAACTATTTTCTAATATTTTAAAGTACTTGTCAATTAATCCTAAAGGGTCATAAATAAAAATTCCTAATTATTCCTAATGTCAATTAATCCTAATCGTTCTCAGTTAAAATTTTCCCTTATCGGCTCAATTCTTGGTCGCCTTGAATGAAATCTGCAAGACACAGCCTTCCTTTTTTCATATATCTCATACTTCCCACCTAACCCTATAGGTATGGCTTAAAAAGACATTTTAAAGGAGCCATGCATTTGTGGGTTTCTTACATAGATTTCTACTCAGTTTTGCGTTTATAAGCCGCTTCTCGAGACTACTTGTAGATCATATATAATAGGGTGATAAGAAGACTGGTAGTCGAATTTTCCCACAATCATATGAGTAGGCATGATGTTTCTCTTGAATTGCACATAGCCTTGCTTTCCCAAAAGGTCCCGACGGACAAAGGTACCTAGACTGGCCCTCAAGATCCTTTCTTCTCTGACTTGGGACTGCACATCCGAAGTCCTGGCTAATGGCATCGGTTTTCCTCTGTGCTCCTACTCTCGGCCACTTACATATCTTTTTTTCCAGATCCAGTTTGCTGAACTCGTTCACGACAGCTCCCTCTGACAGTTGGCCAGCAGTGAAGAGTTGAACTGTGAAGAAAAACCAGGTTTCGAAGAAGTGTTTAGTGATCTACTGTGGCACCACTTTGAAATTGGAAGGAAAAGTTGGTTGTAAGGAATGACTGAAATTGTCTCACCTGGACCCTAAGGAGGATTGCCGCGGAGTTAAAACTGTTGGTTTGTGCAAATAAGTCAACGGCTTACCGTCCTCCGACGTGGATGTACTTGTGCTAAGCTTTCGTCTGTAACGCCGTGGCAGACATCACCACAGCAAGAATACATACTTTACGAAAAAGCGCAAAATTTATACTAAATTAACCATCTTTTTCCTGGTTTACTATATTTTTGCTGTAATTCATAAAGTATGAATTCTTGTTTTGATTATGCCTGTCACGATGGTACAGACAAAAGCCTAGCACAGGCTGATCAGAATCACAGGACGCTGAACCAAGGACTTCTTCGTACATTTCCAATAGTCTTCTCTACGCGGCACTCCTTATTCGCTTTCCCATGAGACCGTTTACCTCATTCCTTCCAACCAACAAGATTTAAATACCCCCATCGATAGAAGATTCACTGGAGAGGCCAGTAACTGCGACACTGGAACCGAAGCCTATAGCTCGGTTGCTACCCCCTGCGCCATTTTGACCTCAACATATCTACACGAAGGAGCACGACGGATTTAGAGCTAATGAGTTGTCTGTCATCCAATCTGAATTGTGATCACAGTCCATTTCTAGGCACAGACGGAAATACTTCGAGTTTGCTGGCAAGACATGCCAATCGCTTGAACCCACTGCTGGTGAGGACGAAATAGCGAATTTGTGTCTATGTGGGTTTGATGGTGTGTCGGTGTGAAGGCCTCGGGGCGTACACGAGGGGACACGTTGGCCGGAGGATTGGAGACCACGTCGGCTGGAATGGCGTGAGAAAGGATCGTCCACAATTTGGATTTTTCACACAAAGAAGAAGCAAAGAATGCGCATGTTGAAGCTGAGATGCCGACCTGAGAATGACTGCGCTCTGAGACTGGCACGTTGACCTTTCATGTCGGTTGTGCAGACGGGTTCATTGATTCATTTCACTTCTTCCGAGAGCTCGGATTGACGACGCGAGAGATAGCCTCGTATCAATCAGTACGGCGGGAGGATTGAAAACCGGTGACTGTCGGCCGAAATAGTCGAGCATCGGTTGCTGACTGGGAAGCGTGTGATTCATTCACCATGACGGAAAGAAAGGCGGTGATAAAGAATGCCGACATGTCGGACGATATGCAACAGGACGCGGTGGATTGTGCAGTCACGGCAATGGAGAAGTATTCTATCGAGAAAGATATTGCTGCCTACATAAAGAAGGAGTTCGACAAAAAGTTCAACCCAACGTGGCACTGTGTCGTGGGCCGCAATTTCGGGAGGTAAGCCCATCTTCTGCAACTGATCTTATTGAAGAAGTGTTCACTCGAATGATTTCTTTGCTGGCCTGACTTTAGATCCAATCCCGTAAAGTCACGGGGCTCGCTGAAAGAGTATACTTTTGACAGTTGGCACAATTGTTGGCCGAAATAATCCGGAACCTCGCGATACCCAACCAAGGTCATGCAGGCTTGTAGCTCTAGTACATCAGTCTAATTTGTATGTAGAAATTTAAGAAAAATATGTGAATAGGCCATTATGATTGTAATTGTATCATCCCCTTTGTCTGAAGCATGTTCAAATGTGGGTTGACCTCGTTGTCGCAACTTGGTCTTGTTTTCAGGGAGACCATGTAGAACGCACCTAGTCCGAATTCTGGGTTGACCTCGTTGTCGCAACTTGGTCTTGTTTTCAGGGAGACCATGTAGAACGCACCTAGTCCGACCCTCGTTGTCGCAACTTGGTCTTGTTGTCAGGGCGACTATGTAGAACGCACCTAGTCCGAAGTCGTCTGCAATTGTGGTTGTCATAAGTCCCAAAGACTTGATACACTCTCAAACGTTTCGCCAGCATCGTAGTTGGCATCATCAGTGAGCCTTGCCATTCTCCGTACCAACATACGGACTCGTCAAATAGACAAGTGAAGTCAATCCCTCGACAACCGTTCTGCCGAAAACGGTTACACTATCACTCTTCTTTCTGTCATTGTCTATCTATCTACTCTTTACCCTCTTATCCCACTGCCGACTACGATGTTAGCGAAACGC